CGTCATATAGAAGTATATATCAGGGAACAGGCCAACCTTCAAAACTAGTGACCCTAGTTGCAGCAGTTGCACTCTTGTTGAACAATGCAACCTCCAACTGAACAATATCTTTGAGATGAGGCTGTGGATTTAATAGAATAGCGAAGATTATTGGGGAGCAAGGCAGGGGGAGGGAGGAATTTTCTGTTTTTTACATTCTGCATCATTTTGGTTATCAAAATTTAGAGGAAAAAAATATTTTTAAATATTTCAATATTATGTCTATAAAAATCTGACTCCATTTTTTTCAAAAGTTTTTTTTTCAAAGTTTAACTGATAAATGTGGATATTTCAATCAAAATGTTCACTACAGAATAAAACGCCACAGCTACACAACAAGCATACATTACACAAATACCATGACAGAAACTGCTAAGATCTAAAACAACCATTCCCAAACTATAAAATATGTGCAATTGCTCACAACTCCAGCGTTCTTCGGTTGTCAACTTTATTCTCACAGCTTTAATGCCTGGAATCAAATCTTTACAACTGCTTTGATGTGCCTTCTTTCCTGCCTTCAACTGACACCTTTCCAATCAGTTATGCTTAATTTTCGTTCTATCTGCTTCAAAAGTATACTGTCCTATCATTTACCATCTAGCATCAGCTGCCACTTTACACAAGTCAATGTTCAAACAGCATTAACCTTACTAATGCCCAGTCATCAGCTTCCTTGCATTAATGCTTGACCAATCAGAAACATGCAGGCATGAAAAAACTTTTGTCCAATCAACTTCTCCCTTACATTTTTTTACCTGTTCTTTTAACTTCCTGTGAAGCTTTCACACAGTTACATTCAACCACCATTCATCCAATCGTTGAATTGTCTGTGTTCACATTCTTGTCGATGAAATCTCCGGAGAGGTAATTAATGTCATCATTGATTCACCAATAAGAAGTTTCTTTACATAGAAATTGATCCAATCAGATGGCACCTTATGATAACTTCTGTCCTGAGAATGTGTTGGTTGCTGGCATCTGTCTCTCATCAGTGTAAATCTGCAAAACATAATATTGACGATTGATAAACAACAATTTCTGTAACCTCAATCAGCTAATGTAAGTTTCATTTTAAATATTTTCTGCATCTATCTGGCAATAAGCCCATGTCTGATAATAAGCCTAGACATGGAAATTTGCCAATATCAAATAATAAGCCCATGTGCTATTGCCTTTTAGTAGAAATATCAAAAAAGAAAATATTTTACTGTCCTGGAATAAGCCCAACCATATTTACTGCTGTTTAGTAGAAACATTTCTATTACTAATAAGCCCACCTATTGACTCTGAATGCAACAGAACAGGCAGGCAGGCAGGCGGGCAGGTAGAGGGGCTCCCTATGGGGGGTTATTGGGTTCTTTCTTTCATTGACATTATATACAAAGTAATGGGAATTAGTGGAAGATATGCATACTAAAGTTATGGTAATTATTACTGAAATGAAATTATAAATAGTAGTATTTCATTTTCCTGCAATAAGCCCATCTTCCTTACTTTGAGTTACAAGTTGCATGTTGGTACCCCAGGCTAATTGTAAAATCAATAAATGTAGGTGATTAACTTGAAAACGATTCCTATGTAGATATTGTGTTCAATACAAATTATATTTAAAAAATAAACCTGAAAAAAGTACACAGCTGTATCGAAAAATGAAATCCAAGGGAGATAAGTGCATCTCCATAACAGTTATATATCAACTCAACAGTATGTACAAGAAAACTAGTTTTGTTATCACACTACAAAAAAAATCATTCATGTTTTGGATTTTGCATTGAAAGATGATATTTTGATGCTTATTAACATTTGCTATGCAAAGATTTACAAACACAATATATAATGATTAATTGTAATTTATATTCTCAATTATCAACTTTTTGAAACCCTCTATATCATTTGAATTTTCTCCTTAAACATTAGCTCCTGGACTTTCTATAGTGATCATCCACTGCTCTGTCTGCGTGGCACATACACTGTGTTGTAAAGCATATTGTGAAATGAACTGGGTCAAAATATCATGATGGTTTGAAATACAAAACAAATTGTTTCCTTGAAAAAAGACTTCACTTTACTGTGGCATTGTTAAAGTACACCCCTCCCCCTTCCCTGTTCAAACTTTTTCTGTTTCCATGCATAGTGAAAATGTGAGCTTAACTAAAGATTTGATGAAAATGAAGTCTTTTTCCATCATTATAAGTTGTGTAACTTACTTAAACCCCCTAGCAGACCCACCCTAATTTCCTTATTCCAGACATCAGTTTTCAAGACTTCAATGTGTAGAATACTTCAAAGTAGACAAAAACAAAAAACAAAACAAAAAATATACCTTGATATTGGATTTCATAGTCAAATATCATGTAAAATATTTTCAAGTCATGTTGCAACTTTGACACTGAAACATACATAAATCAAGCCAATTATGCAATAAGTCCTTTTAGTAATTGCCTATACATCAACTGTACATCAAAATCCTAAAAGAAATCAATTTTCAGAAAAAATATAAAAAAAACTCTAGTCATGATAGATAATCAAAAATTTCCAAAATGCAAGGTATATGGGTTTCATTAGAATAGATCCAATTTGGTGTGGACATCGGGGAAAAAAAGCCAAAGGAATGGAGTTATCTCCCTTCTGTCAAATGCACTTTCTGCTTATATTGCCCCTGCTGGTAACAGATATTTTAAGTGGAAGCCTAAAGTAATTTAGCCTTCAAATTACAGTGAAAGAGGAGCTAAATCACATCTTTCATTTCATCAAACCATTTTAAATCAACTAAATTGATGCTTTCAATCCAAATTTTCATAAAGTTGCTAATAAATTTATGACTTTGAAAGGTAAGAGTCGGAAGCAATAAGGCCATGAAATTGGTATTGGTGAAGATATATAATGTTCAGTTAGCCTGTCTTCGTATCCTACGAAATCAAAAACCTTTAACAATTTCAGTTAAAACAAAAGAAGCCAGCATGAATTTTACAACTATGTGGAATCTCTGTAAAAAAAATCAACGTGCATGTTCCAGATCACCAGCTTTAAAGCAGATTCTGAAATTGAGAACAAAATGAAGGTTTACAATGATTTGTTAATCTATCCTTGAAATTGCAAAAAAATACACTTAAATGCAATATCTAGAATATGTTGGAAAGTGTCCAGTCTGACTGCAAATTTGAGTGTATGGTGGTTTATGGTTTTGAAAATACCAAAATTCTTATTCAAATTGAAACATTGATGAAAAATGAATAAATATAAACAAAAAAGGTTTATCTACCTAATGTATAAAGTTCCAGTGTATGCTAGGAAGTATCCAGCGATGGCATGCATTGTTCCTAACTCTAATCAACCTAGCTGTGTAAAGTTCCAGTGTATGCTAGGAAGTATCCAGCGATGGCATGCATTGTTCCTAACTCTAATCAACCTAGCTGTGTAACGTTCCAGTGTATACTAGGAAGTACCCAGTGCTGGGATGATTGTCAATTAAACTATAATCTACATAGCTGTGTAAAGTTTCAGTGTATACGAGGAAGTACCCAGTGCTGGGATGATTGTCAATTAAACTATAATCTACATAGCTGTATAATGTTCCAGTGAATTATAGGAAGTACTCTGTATTTAAATGTATTGTTCATCCCAAACAATTACAAACTCTTATCAACCCAGCTTTCTCAAGCATGTTTGAAATATACTTTAAAGATGAACTGTTGTATCTAACAAGGGAATACACTAGTTTACATGCATTCTCCCCAAAATGTTCTCATTCCTTAAAGATCTGTCCTTTTATACATTGTATTACATATCATATTCTTCAATTTCCCAGGCTTGAAAGATACTTAATGATACAGTAATCAATAGCAGACATAAATCCAAACAAAGAATTAAAGAAATTCCCTAAGAAGCAAAATCATACTAACTTTTTATGTGTTTTGGTTCATTTTCTAGGTTTCTCCAACTAAACAGCAGACTTGCTCTAATCTGCCCAGCTGTATTAAGTTCCTTTACAAGTACACAAATGGTGGAGGTTATTTTTATGTTGGTCATTTCATTCCACACATACCAATACCTTTATATACCCTGGTACTCTAATCTATGCAGCTGTATAAAAATTGATGGATGCAGAGAAGTAGAACTATGATGGCTAATATATTGACATTCTCGCTGACTCTTAAATAGGGTAAAACAATACATATGACAAGCCATGTATCATATGTTTGATTGTCTATTTCATAAATAGTAATAAACACCTTTTATTACACTATAAGTTACCAAGCTGTATAAAAAACTGTATGCAGGGAAGTATCTCTATCATGGCTAGTACTATACATCAAAATTTTCATGTGAATGTTTTCTTGTAACCATGGAAAAATATGCTTCAGAATAATTTTGTTTCTTATTATTATTGGCTGGTTCAAATATTTCTGTTTTTCTATCCCTTCCTCCCTCCTTTCTCTGGATATCCAATTTTATATCTGTAATGCCACCTAACAGATGTTGTAGTAATAAATTTAGATGTGTTTATTGATTGATCAAGTTTTACTGTGGAAGTTTTAAGACTGGATGTAATGCTAGCTACATGTAGAATGAAACATTATATATACTTTAACAAGTGTAAGCAGAGATGATAAAATATTGCCCCAGATGGTAAACTTCCTGGTAATTTAAAACACATGGTGTAGTAAGATTAGCTTAGATAGTGCAATCAGTCTTCCCATCTTCAAATTGAATTACTTGTCAAATGTGTAACTCAAACTACCTTTTTAAATTCTCTAAAGATCATCAAGAACATTTAAAGATATTTTGAGATATTTTGTTGCAGCATATCTTAAAGTGTTTTATTGTAAATAGGACACAATGCACCCATATTCAGTGCTTTAAGCAAATCAAGTTATTCTAATAGTGTTTCAAATCATGTATGTAGCCACACATCTCTGCCTGCCGTTCTCCCTATCACCAGTTTTCTTCCTTTGCTTTCACATCATTTTCTCTTCCTTTTCATTTCCTCTTTTCCCCACCTGCCCTCTATTTTCTTTCTTCATTTCTTTTTCTCTTCCTTCCTTTTCTAACCTTTATCTTCCTTCTCCATCCTTCATATCCCCTTCTCTTTCCTTTCTCCATTTCTCTCTTCCTCTCCTCCCTCTCTCCCCTTCAAACTGTCCTTCCTTCTCCATCTCTCTCTTCCTCTCCTCCCTCTCTCCCCTTCTAACTTTTTCCTCTCTCCATCTCTCTCTTCTTCTCCTTCCCTCTCTACCCTTCTAACTACTTCTCTTCTCCATCTCTCTCTTCCTCTCCTCCCTCTCTGCCCTTCTGTTTCCTTCCTTCTCCATCTCTCTCTTCCTCTCCTCCTCTCTCTACCATTCTGTTTCCTTTCTCCATCTCTCTCTTCCTCTCCTCCCTCTCTGCCCTTCTAACTACTTCTCTTCTCCATCTCTCTCTTCCCCTCCTTCTCTCCCTACCCTTTTAACTGTTTCTTTCCTTCTCCAGCTCTCTCTTCCCCTACTCCCTCTCTCCCCTTCAAACCTTTTTCTCCATATTTCTCAACCCCTTCCTTCTCTGTCCTTCTAACCTTTTTCACATTTGTACGTTTATCTCTTCCTGTCCTTCCCTCTCTCCCCTTCTAACCTAATATCATATCTGTAAAGGCACATGCTAGTTGTCTCCCTTCATCCATGTTTGGTACAATTTTAAGTATGATACATGCACTTTTTTCAGACTGTGCTGAACTATTGATCAAACCCATAAGTTTACCAACTTTCCTTATTTTATGACATCTTGTCAACAGTTGTAAGTGTACACAGTGTTCAAAGTTTTCTGTAACACAAATTCGTTTCGTTGTTGTTATATCCAAAATTGACGTGTATAATTACAAGTCCCAGTTTCATTTCCTATTATACATTTCTGGGTCATGATCACATACTCAACCGAGTGGGATTTTTTTCAAGAAACTTTGGTTTCTCTGCAAGATCCCTGGTGCCAACAAGAGTGATTTGACAGATTCAACAACTCCTTGTTTCAAAATTGTTGTATAACAAATTTTAAAATTTCAATCAAAAGTTGAAAGTTTGAAAATGAAGTCCCCTAAGACACAAATAAATTGAAAACAAAAAACTTTTCATTTTATTTGAAAGAAATCTATTTTTCTAGGAAGGTACAATTTGTATAGCCATATGTTATTTATCAATTTTTAGACAGAGAAATTTTTTGCCATGTATAATAAATTACTTTGAATGTGAGCTGACCTGATAAAATAGGACACTTTTTTTTCCTCAAAATAAGATCAATCAGCGTAGATTTTAATTATGTAAAGTATGCATCATAACTTTTGTTTCAATAAATTTACTTAATTGACATAAATGTCTCTTAATTCTTTAATTATTAAATAATCCTTTAAGTTCGAAAATATGATCATGCTGGGCATATTGTGTATAAAATACCACAATTTATTGTCAATTAAATTTTCCACATATATTTTTAATGTGTTTATGCGACAATAATTAAGATATAGACTTCATTTAGATGTGAAATGGCCTTAAATGAAATCTTTTCAGGACAATACTTCTTGTCCTGCTATGCATAGTGAACATATAAATGACATCAAAATTTTATTAGAATAGCAAAAATCTATCTTAATCATTAAAATTTATGGTAAGACACAAACAAGGCTTATTTAATACCTCAATAAAAGCATGTCAATGCTGATTTTTGTCTTAATTAAAAAAAAAAAACAGGATTGAAAGTTGTTTATATCCTTTAAATAATTCAGTAAAGCCAGCATAACTGACCTTTGAGGTATCATTAAGACTGTCAAGAAATTTATGAGCGTGTGACATTTCGTTCTCTGCATGAATGTCTACATATTCCATCCATTTTCAAATTAAAGCTGAAAGTTAAACATCACTTTTAAAAATATAAAATGCAGGACCAGAAAAACCTAGGACATCACTAGTAATTTGGTGAGCATTTTTTTTTAAATGCACAGTCACCATCATGACTTCCGTGCGAAACTAAATCCATTTTCAATACATTATCTTCGTAAAATGTTTTGGCACAAGTCCAAACCATGGGTGGCATTTTTTTCCAAATATCAGTTCATTATCTTTGTAAACGTTGGTCAACATATACAATGCGTGTACCCTGTCCATTCACACTCTGCACAATAAATCAGGGACATCATTATATCTAAGATCTATCATTTTTATTATCGATTCTACATTCCCCATCGGTGTAAATTTCCCGACTCACCGTTCATAAACTATTTGACAATTTTTTGTCATATAGTCTCGTGAAGGTACGTACCTCCATGGAAAAATCTCACTGACATCTAAGTTAACGGTAACCTGTCGTTGCCAAACACACGCCATGTTCGTCCGATGTTTGAAAGGCACGTGAATCGCACGTGCAGATATGATCGACCTCCAGACTCATCCGGGGCCTTTGCAAGTCGGTGGCGCTTTATCTTGAAAATGTTATAATATAATGTGTTAACTCTTTTATTTTTCAAATGTGATAATTTCATTGTTATTATTATATTTTTGTTTTCTTATATCGCGCATAGATTCTAAGATAATATTTATGTAAAATGATTTTTGCGGCATATTTGTCGCTTTGATGTCGTCAGAATCTTTTTTTACTTTGTCAGTTTTTATACAAACTGTGGTTTTTAATACCATAATTGTTTGTTTAAAACGAAATTTGTTTCATTTTTTTGGTTTTGGATTTTTCAACACAGCAAGTTTTATATGAAGAAAAACGACATCTCTGATACGATTTTCTGAAGAATTTTATAGCGCCTTGTCGCGTTTTCGTGGAAGTACACCGGAGTGCCCTGCTAAAACTCACGTGGTCAGTCAGGTGACACCAATAACTTCCACGTCCGTTCCGGGAATCGAACCCCGTACGACTGGTTGAGAGGCAAGTGCGTTACCACCGGCCATCCGGCCTCCCGACACACTGTGTTACTCAGATATTGTGAAAAGCAAATGAAACTGCAATTCAAGAAACAAACTTTTTCCTATGAACGATAAAGCACTTTTTTTCAACTCATAAAGCCATCTCCGAATTAGGGAAGAAATTACCAAGATGGCGATATAGTCAGTTGATATTTCTTAGATAGGAAGTGATTTAAATAGTCGATCACTCATTAAACATTGAAGATCAGATCAAAGTTACTAGACAAAGATATGTTTAAAATCTTCCGCTGGACATAATAAACGTTCACACTTGTTCAAATACATTACATTTTGTACCCGAACCCAGAGTTTCATCACCAAACGGAAGTAAAATTATTTATTTGAAAAAAAATATAATGAGTGATGATAAGATACAAAAACGACATATTTTTTCATGGTATAAATAATTGCCTTCCATACGCTATATTCAAATTGTCGATCCGACACTGTGTGACACTTATTTAAAATGTTACGGAATTGAAATACATAAAATCTTGTTCCGTACCTGCTGTCATTTTAAAGCAAATGGTATCTGAATGAAATCTACATACATTTAACTGAACAAAAAGTTTCATCTTCAAAAGTTTGCTCATCACAGAGAGCAGCCGAGCGTTCCTTTACAGGCACACGGCAGTGATGACCCGTTTCAATAGTCAGTTAAAAAAGCATAAGCTACCACAACGCTACCGTTTTTATTTATTTATGTATCTATTAGTTATTTATTTATCAATTCGCAATCATAGGGGACAATAAATCAATTATGCAGGTATATAAGTTCGCAGTTTGTTACCAATTCGCGAAACCCACACTGAACTCGCTTGTTTGAAAATTGTTTGCTCAGCCAGACTCATAAATATAAGGTTTTATACGAGACTCGATTCGATATGCGATATTTATTAAACGAACCTGATAATTCTTTTAATATTTGGGAACATTCTGAGAGCTGAATTGGAAAATATATGAAGAGTTTTATCAATCACACATCAAATGAATACAACTTTAAGACTTTTTTTATCGATTGTTCAGGAAAATATTGCAGAAAACGGAGATTTCCAGGTCATATCAGCTGTATATTCGTCACAATGCACTCTGTGAGTGTATGGCGTCATATCATTATTTCAGACTGACACAATAATAGGTGATATAACAAATATATACACGCAAAAATAAACATATATAAATCAAAAGTATAATTAAATATCAAGATATTCGTTTCCTGTATATTGATAATTAGCGTCACCATACCCCGCCCTTTTTGATGGTCAAATCCACTGGTATCTCTTTCCTCCTAAAAGACGTCATCGCCATATGAAATAAAGATTTCTCTTTTATGATTTACATTTTTTCACATGCTATGATTTTTTTAAAAGTATTGTTGGTATTCATATTGCATGTCATAATTATCGCGTTCACAATGTATCTTTTAATTGATGAGTATTTAAAGTTTGATTTCCTTAGAAAGTCATTAAACAGCTTAATTACCAACATATCCATCAATTGAAAAAAACAAGCTTAAAAAAAAGAAACAAATTTTAAAAGACGATGCATTATATTTCAAAGTCCTTTTTACCATCAGTATCAACATCAAAGACTAAACACTACCACGCCCACAGATGATTAAAACAATACCATATCTATTTGGGTTGTGTGTTCTTCTAAGTAATTAATTCTTTACAAATTTTATAAATATCAAACTTCAAGGTAAGTAACGAAATTATGTGTTGATTCTCTGAAATCCAAGCGTTCTGTTCTCAATATCTTTTCTTAGTCGCCAGCAAAATTGAAGACTGTCCGTTTCTTTTGATTGGTTCCCGACGGGAAAAAATCACAAAAGATGTTTCCCTAAGGTGAACAATATATCCTCTTTGAAGTTAAAAGACGAAATAACTCTTCATTTTACTACGCGATTTTTACGTAATTGTAATGGAATTTGCAACCCCAGGTAGTTTGATTCCTACCAGGGATTGTTTGTGTTACTCGGGTAAAGATCCGCCGTGTGTGGTTTGATCCCTACCAGGGACGGTTTGTGTTACACTGGTGAAGATCCGCCGTGTTTGGTTTGATCCCTACCAGGGACGGTTGGTGTTACTGAGGTGAAGATCCGCCGTGTGTGGTTTGATCCCTACCAGGGACGGTTTGTGTTAATCAGGTAAAGATCCGCCGTGTTTGGTTTGATCCCTACCAGGGACGGTTTGAGTTACTCAGGTGAGAATCTGTAGTGTGTGGTTTGATCCCTACCAATGACAGAAGACTCTTAACTAAAATTCATCTAGACAGCTTTCGGTGGAGGAGGAGGAGGAGGAGGAGGATGATACATGTATATGATTCATTCTAAAAATAATTATAAACATAGGAGTCAACACAAGGCCTACTTGAAAAGCACTGTTTTTAAACACAGATTCGTAAGTACCAAGGAAATATAACGACTCAAAAACTCGTAATTTCTATCAAGATCGACTTCCGTTTCTTCAGGGATTACGAGGAGAATGGGTTTAGCCCAGTAGATTGAGTGTTGGCGCAAGCGACCCATGGTGGTTTTTGAAACGGACCGTCTGTGATGTTCTTGGGAAAAGCCCATCACCCCAATTACTTTAGATGTCATAAGCCGGGCCTTTCGTATGTAATTCAACGAGGTTGTCACCAATTACTACAAGGAGACACAACGTGCAAATGACCCTATCAGTTCACGTGCAATAACCCCGTCCAACAAACAAAGATCCTGTATTGTGTTCTTTCATAGTCAATAATTGAAACCAATCTATAATAGCCTGTATCAGATAAAATTTCTATTCATATTCTCGACAGTTCAAAATTAACCGGCATATGGTACAAATAAATAAAATAACAGGTTATTTGACATTTCAATTATCACTTGTCCTTGGGATTTCTTAATTAACTAAATAATTAGAAACAAATTGCTGCTTTAATGTACATGCCAAGTTCATTTACTTTGAAAAATATCCGTTGTTGTTTGAAGGCTGTCTGTTTCACTATAAATATACCACACGTCATCAAAACCAAATGTCCAAAACGCGTATAATTCTTCTGTTATATGCTTATTTTAATGTGTGATTATAAAATAACACCCTCATACTCCACTTAAAATTCACATCAGCTAAAAAGATCTTCACATCATATTGCTACAGAGCAGAACAACTAGAGATCGACAGAATGATACCACGACAACGTGACAGCGACAGAACGATACCGCGACAACGTGACGGCGACAGAGCGATACCACGACAACGTGACGGCGACAGAACGATACCGCGACAACGTGACGGCGACTGAGCGATACCGCGACAACGTGACGGCGACAGAGCGATACCGCGTCAACGTGACGGCGACAGAGCGATACCGCGACAACGGGACGGCGACAGAACGATACCGCGACAACGTGACGGCGACAGAGCGATGCCGATACAGCGATATCGCGACACGTGACGGCGACAGAATGAGATAGAAAAAGCGAAAGGGCGATATCACGACAACGTGGCGGCGACCGAGCGATTTCGAGACAGCGACAGGGCGAGAACGCGAGATCGCTCAGACGACCTAGCTGTTTATCTCTGTAGTAGCGTTTTTCGGTCATTGGCCCAGTACCAATAAAAAAACTACTTAACCACATTCGGAACAGATCGTAAAAGTTGACGCTAAACCCATTGAATAAATAAGAAGATAAATAAATCCATTGGGGTTGCTAAAAAGATATGTATATAAGAGCGTGACTTTCGGCTGTTTAATATCCAGTCCTATTTCACACCCAAGTATGGTCACAACTGGCGTCTCTTCACTCATCGGCAAATGATTCCTCTAGTTGTTTATGTCTAATTACAAATATTCCGTACGTACCATGTACGCAGTATTCAGCTGTCGGTATGGAGCCATTCACCTCGTCCATACACTCTCAAACACGAAATCACACCTACACATCCGTGTTGTTTTTATTGTCTCCACACTTCCCTTTCAACTGTCTGCTCGTTATCTCTCATGAAGATTCATGCAGGTCATGAGCAGACGACCACTTCAAAACTGCTGCAGAATCAATCTGTGTGTACAATAAACAAGATATACGGGCTAGAAATGATTGTACATTCGCCATTCAAATCGAATTTAAAGGATGTGCTTTGGATGGCTAGACGTTAGTGAGTTTGACTTACTCAAAAAATTAGCGGTATTGTTATTGGAAGTTTATTAACTCCGGGACGATTTATCTTTCTTCTGATGAACAGCCAATTTCCGTCTCGACGAGCAGACAAATTACTTCCTATTCAGAAGTCATTGCGCGTGGATAAATAGTGCATCACACAGGAATCATTGTCCGATTTGGCTTACAATGTAATGAGCCGATAACTTCGATCACGTCTTAAATGCTTTAAGCTCTATTCAGTTTGTTACAACTTTTTTTTTGG